TAATTATTTGGATGACTACTTTTTACTTTTACTTGAGTCATATTATTCTGAAGTAACAGTACTTTTACTTGAGTAAATTTTTTGGCTACTCTACCCACCTCTGGATGATACATAGGAAACAAGGAAGACAGGAACAGCAGCAGATAACATAATGGAAAAACAGGCTAAAGCACAGCATTAGAGAAAAGAAAACAGAATAGAACAAAACAGTTTTCTGACCTGCAAAGAGTTTCTTCAGGTGTGACTGGATGACAGTTGGATTGGTTGCCTGACCAAGAATCTCTAACAGATCATCATCGCCTATGAAATAGAACCGTGGGAAAGCAGAGCGCTTCTCCTAAGATAACCACACGCAGAAAAAACAAGTTGTAAAATCGTTGTGATGCTTACAATTCATTTTGTACATATGTAGTCTTTGCGTGGAAAAATGCCTGTGTGTGTGTGTGTGTACCTCCAGGAACTCATTAAGTGACTTTTGGCAGCGCTGCAGTTGATCCAGTATGGTGACCAGGGAGTTTCTGATGCCTGCCCTCGAGCTCAGAGAAACAACTCTGTTGTCTCTCTGAATGTCTGACATTATAGACCTGTCGCATACAGAGAAAGTGCTTTGTTGCTGAATATGCATGTCCCAGAAAAACTATCCTATAGTATACTGAATATCAGCCATAATACACTTGAAGGTTAAACAGTAAATTAATTTTCTGTTTTTAGTACATCAAAACATATATGTTGTGCAACAAGATAACAATTGAAAATCAGTACAGGATGTAGGGATAGAATTGTACAATGAATATGAGAGCGTGCAGTGCTCTTGCTGTCTTTTGGTCAAATTTAACAGATCTACATTGTACCTACATTACTCTAGCTGACAACCAATTTGCAATAAAGAGCAAAGGTTCAAGCTGTGATGTGAAACAGTCTCACACTGTCTCTCTCTCACACACACACACAGTACCTGAAGTCTTCATCAACCCGTTTGAAGCGGGCCTCCTCCCTGGGCAATGCCCCTCGTCCAAAAATAGGTTCCAGATAAACCCAGCGCCTCTGGATGGCATTCAGACTCAGCAGATACTCATCTAAGTCTGATAGACGTACCTCCCACAGGCTGACCTGGATATACATGTAACATTGGTTAGTGCGGCTTCATTTCAAGGATTTGTGAACCACAAACGACACAAACCATGCACCTTTACCTACAGCAATGCATTTGATCATGTTAACACATTTTGTATCTTTATTAAACAGGATGTCTGGGGAGAGTTACTTCTCCCAAAAATGAAGATGGAGCACTCAAAGAGGATAAAAGTATATTCATAGATTCAAGCCTTTGACCTGACCTTGTCTTGGAAGCTGCGGTAGTAGGGAGAGTCTTTCAGAGACTGCAGCAGACAGCGGTTATCTCCCACCTGGATGGGCACAGAGTGGTGATAAAGCCAATGTTTTCTAATTCTTAACATTTCATTTAATGGTGCCAGTAGATATGCCTGCATTTTCTTGAAAATGTTTTTGTGCCTTTGTGCCAAATCTATCTACGAAATGTTACCTAGAAGTTAATAATAATCAGAAAAAATTAAACAAGGGTAAATTCTGACCCTGTAAATACTAATAACAACAGCTGAGGGAGCCTTTTCAGATGATTATAGTAAATGTTTTTAAAGCATTGCTCTGTCTACAGTATTCACTTTTGTATACCAACTAATGTACTGCATTGATTTTTTATATAAATAAAAGTATAATAAAGTAGTAAAATTTTTATTGCCAAGATTTTGGCTCACACCTTTATCAGGGGCAGAATAGTTAAAGAGTTAGAGACATCTTTATATTTAACATAACATTTATTTATAAATATGTAACAAAACGTGTAAGAGACATCCAACAGGAAACTTGCACTGCATCTTTCAGTAATCAGGCTACCATGTGTATCATCTGCATCTGAAATATCTGTATCACTCCCTGTTTTGCATGTTACTATATCAGAACATCTTGTGGTGCACAACATACCCACACACTCAGACCTGTTTAGACCAGGGACCAAGCACAGATGTGCTTTAGAAGTGTTAAGCAGCATCTTAAAATCAATTCTAAAACTCAAAGGGTCTCAGTGTAGATGACTGAGAAATCCCTGAATTGGGTTGAGAGAAGTTAGTGGGGATGTGGAATTAACAAAAACCAGTAAAACCTTCTCTTCATTTGGGTATATGCCATCTGTTTGTACAAGTATGTTATTGTCAAAGTATGGCTAATAAAACTATAACCTGTTACAATTAACTGTAATTTACGTTAGTGTGTGTTTTGTGTTTACATGCAGTCCATATTTGTCTGCCCATGTGTTTACCTGGTTGACTATATCCTTCCAGTCCTTGATGAGGGTGAGGGTGCGCCTGCTGCTGTCTGTATACTCAGTGAGGTTGAAGGTTGCTGCAGCTCCCCACAAGTCCAGCTCCCTCAGGGCTTCTCTGATTGTCACTTCCGCCTGAGCACGACTGTTCAGGTCCTAAATGCAAACACACACACACACATGATTTGTGTTCATTCACCAGTTTATATACATTTGATAATACCAGTACAAGCCACTATTACTCCACTGAGGTGGCAGGCAATAACTTTTACCTCTGCCTTATTCAGTCAAATCTTCAATGAAATACAGTAAAGATGTAGGTATTCTATGTGGACTGCCGGAAACATGTTGTTAGGCACTCAAAATCTAAGAGTGACCATAGTCCCATAACTCAAAAGACGAAGAGGTGTGTGTCCTTATGGAAGTGCGTCCTTCCATCCAGTATGTATATGTAGTATTAGCATGAGTGTGTGTGCGTGCGTGTGTGTGTGTGTGTGTGTGTGTGTATGTACATACCTTGAGCTCCAAGGCCTTTTCTATGACGGTATTTGCCACACCAAGGAGGTCATTAAAGGTGAGTCTCTCTAAAGTTGTCCCTCTTGGAAGGCCAAGCAAACGGAACATGTCCAACCAGTGGTCCTGGGACAGGTGCTCCCCACGCACATACTTCAGCACTGGTACCATGTTCTAGAAATGTAGATGGAAAAGTTTAAAAATAAAAACATAATTCTAAATTAATAAAATACTAAAAACTAACCAAAGGTGTGGAATGAGATCTACTTTAACCACCATTCACCTATAGTTTTTCCAACATTGCCTTGTTCATCTATAACAAATACCCTAAAACTGAGAGAAAGTCAACTGTACTGCTGTATACCTTGTATTTGTCCACTTCTCCTTGCAGTTTAACAGACATGGCAGTAGGCTGCTCCAGCTTTCTAAGTCTGTCCTGCCACGTAAATAGAAACTCCTCAAACACATATGTCTTACTCCTGCAAAATAACAGCAACATACAAATTAACACACAATTAGACAGTAGTGTCAAATTAAGAGGACTGAGATCCATAAACAGAAGGCCTCAACATGACCACACTACCTGAATGTGATCCAGTCCTCCTGGGCCTTTTCTGTGAAGCCTTGCTGCCACTCCTCATACAGACCCCACATCTGACTGTACTGCTCCATGTCTCTTTTTGTCTCTTCCGCCAGAGAGAAATCTGGAGCCTCCAAGTCAAAATAAGTACAGTCCTCACTGAGAGGAGAAGAAAGGAAAGGAGAGGAGATTAAGATGCACAATTTTCATTTCTTTGACGGTGTAGACCTGCCGTAAAGGCACTGAAATTTGGTCTGGTGGGGGAGAACTACTACTAAGTAGGCTTTTATAGAAGTTATAGTCTTTGGTAGCTGCTGTCCATGGTGCCCTGGGCTGTAGTGTAATTAAGAGTTGGCCATGACTAATATAGTATTTCTCGTCATTTCAGGTTAGGTAGATAGAAAAACATCAGTAATAATACTAAGTAGCTTTAAATACAAAAAAGATCTATAAATAACAGAAGCAGGAACCACAAGGACAATAATAATCTAAATAAAGATGCAGTTGACAACCCTTTATAGTGTATCTGAATTATTCAGCAGGCTTGCGGCTATCACATCTCTGGCCACAGCATAGCCACATTTTATCCCAACACACATCACATCATATAAACTTGCATATTAAAACAGAACTTACAGGAGTTTACTGCGCACAAGCTCGAGCTCCTGGAACTCTTGCTGTTTGTCCCTAATGGTTTGGAGGCACGCAAGAAGGGCAGCATGGTCACCAGTGTCAAGCATCTCATCTTTAGGCTTCAGCTGGTCCCAGCGGGCCTTAAACCGTTCCAGATCCGCCCTGTAGGCGTCAATACGACCAGCTGCATTACTACGCATCACTTCCACCTAAGGAAGGAACAGTGTAAGAGAAATCAAGTGTCAGAAGAACACAGAGGAAGAAAGGAAGAGTGTTTGGGGACAAAGGACAAAGGGAAAGAAAGATGGAAGGAGCAAAGAAGAGTTGAAAGACTTCAAAAAGTCTTCCAATATGTTGGAGAAAATTCCTCATGAGAAGCTTTTAAACCATAATCCAATATGTGTGAGTTTATGTTACCTGTTCTTTGACCATGAGCTGGTGGCTTTCCATCACAAGCTCCAGTTTGTCCCACTTGGCCCTGAGTGAGGACAGCGAGTCCAGGCCGGCCCCAGCAACTGCTCGCAACAAGCGATTCTTCTCCTCAGCACACTGGAACTGAGGTAGGATCTATGCACATACATACAATATACAGTTGGTAGGTAGGTAGGTAGGCAGGTAGGTAGGTAGGTACACTTATGAATTCATGTATGTCACATTACTGACAGTAGTGGCTAATGAGTTACATTTGTTTGACTGGTACTAAAAAAGACCTATTTTGCACAAACCTCAAGCTTTAGAACTATCATTTAAGAAAGATCCTAGCCAGAGTTAGGAGTGTGTTTTTCTTACTTCAGGTTTGCGGGCTAGTATCTGGCTGTATTTGCCACTGGCCGCACCAATATCCTCCATGCTCTCTGGTCGAGTGGACAAGGCCTCCATTGACTCTGACACAAAACTGTCTATGGCCTGTGTGTGGCCTGCAAGCAAGAGAGAAGACACGCACAAATTAAAAAGGAAACAGAAAGGGAAAGAGAAAGTAAGAGCAGAGGGGATGTCATTGGTTCAAGAGAATAAAAAACAAAATCGAAAAAAACAAGAACAGAAAAAGAAAGGGAAAAGATTTGTCTTTTGATGTATGTAAATTACACAACTTTATTCAAAAATGCTATTTTAACATATATAGTGTTTGGTCACAATATACAGGCGTGCATATACCAAAATCAAAGCTAAAAGAAATGAAAGTAAGAGTCAATTGAGTTGTCTGTCTTTACCCTGTATGGACCTTCTTAGTGATAAGAGCAGCAGGTCAAACAGCCTCTGGATCAGGTCATCGATGACAGCTTTTACTGGCTCACAGTTGACTGTAATACAATCCACCTTTTCCTGACTGAGGAGGAAGAAGCAGGAACAGATCAGTGCCTGTCAGTTGTTAAATGTATTAATAAATTCCTGTTAATGGTGTCAATTAACATGTGACCTTTCATGAATCAAATAAGTGAATTTAATCCTGCTAGGGGAAATAACGTGTCAGCTACAAATGGCTTTAGAAGAACTACGAGACACTGGCTAAAGTTGATTAATAGAAGAGAGCTACAGTGAAGACGAGATCTGGATCTTTTTTTAAAGTTGAACAAAGAATTATAAGATTAAGGTCTTGTAGAATGAATGTGAGACTTCACAAGTGGGCTTTTATAGAAGTTGTAGTCATGAGAAGCTGCCCTGCATGTTACTCTGGGCTGTAGTGTAATTGGGAGGAGGCCATTAATTATATAGTATTAAATCAGTGAAATGCATCAGTAATAATAAGTACCTAAAATTAGTAGCTTAAACACAAACATAACTATAGATAACAGAAAGCAGGAATCAATAGGCCACTAATAAATTAAATTAAGTGTTTACTTTTATACTGGCTTTTACTGGCTCATAGTTGACTGAGATACAGTCTACTTTCTCCTGACTGTTTGTGGTATCAATTAACATGTAACCTTTCAACTAAGGAACTGAACAGAAGAAGAACAAGGGAAAAAATGGTATAAGAAAAACTTTGAGATTCCAGATTGAAATGAGTCTGATTAGTTAGCTAAAAAAACAAGGATGTGAAAAGGATAATTAACCATTGGAAGTGATCCGTGAGCTCAAAATTTTCTTAAAATTCCATGTCGGGGTTTGACGTCTGGTCTTCTAAACACACTTTCCCACGCTGTTAAATTGTCACCTGTTTCTGACTCCGAACAAGTGATCTGCCTGATCGAAATAAATGATAGTGTGATTATATGTTCAATTATATGCTTCCTGATATGTGTGGGTTTTCCTCACTATTTTGCAATTAATATGTATTTAAAAGTATTATTAAAAATTATATATATATGAAAAGAATATATAAAAAACATTTTTGGAAAAAGGTGCTATATTTTGGCTGAGCTTGGTTTTCTATTAAGTAGGTAGAACTCTGTTATATTTACTTGTGTTTATTATGTGTGATGTGTACCTGGGCAGACGTTCTGACTCCTTCCCTCTGGCTTTCAGGGCCTTGAAGTTTCTCTCCCAGTCTTGCCCCGAGTTCAGATGCTTCTCCACTAACTTCTCTAAATCGACCTGGCCCAGCACCACCCACTCCTACAACACACCGATACACAGAATAAATGTGGTTAGCTGCAGTGCACATTTCCCAATTTTAAATGTGTGTGTCAAAGGTGACAGAAGCTGCACGTCACACATCTAAATAAAAACAGAAGTAAAGGGGGGATAAAAGAGAAGTCTGGTGTTGGCTGAGGGCTTCCCCCTACAATTTAGATATGCATGGTTGCAGACAGAGGGAAAAGGTAATATACAGTGCTCACTGTTCTATCACAGTAGTATGAAGGGGGAAAATGCTGACAAGGAAAACAAAAGAGCTTTAGTACATAAATAGAGAAGCATGACTAATAATCTCTTTCAAAGAATATAGCACAGCAGGGGTTCGCTGTAAAGCTTTAATGAGAAAAGGGTGTGGTGCCTGGGGCGCACGGTGGCTCGCCTGGTAGATCACGCACTCTATGTAGGCTGGCTCCTTGACACAGAAGTCCGGGTTAGATTCCGGACTGAGTCCCTTTGCTGCGTGCTGCCAACCCCCTTCCTGTCTATCTTCACCTTTTCAATCAATTAAAAGGCATAATAAGCCCCTTCCAAAATAAAGAAATATATAAAGAAAAAAGGTGCAGAGCCATAAGAAGTTTTCTACAAGAGGAAACTATTAATCATATTGTATTCTACAACTATTGGGCAATATCAAATTGACCTTTGAGGCCAGGCTGAGATCTCTGTAGGGTCAAAGTTTCATTTTGTATAGTGAAAATTGCCATGCTTCTCTTAACATTATACAGATGCTTTTTAACAGGAGGGTTGATTAATAATCTAATCATAATCATAATTAGTCAAAATCATCTGTTGTTCAGGCACCTTAAACTTGTGTTGTATAGCCTGCAGGCGGCTAAAGAGATCCTCGGCCTTGCTGAAGATGGTGAGGAACCCAGAGGCATTCCTATCAATCATGACACCGAAGATAAGCTCCTCCCCCTGGGCACTGACCCCTTTGAACTGGTTTGGGATCGAGATGAACCGCTTCATCTCCCTGAAATAGCGTGCTCGCACCTCCTCAAATGGAGGACGGAACTGCAAACGGCCCTGCCTATTCACAAGAAGGAGAGGACAAATTGAAAAAAGGTACATTTCAGTCTTTATTCACTTTTCACTAATCATCTATGTCTTTGTAGGAGAGAGAAAGAAAGAAAGAAAGGGAAAGATAAGACAGTCAAAGAGAGAAATTGTGATATGATATAAGTATGAGAATTATCAGGTGGGGGAAGAAAGTCAGAAGTCGCTGCTAGTTGTTCAAAATGAGAATAAAATACTTTATATATGAGAGAGGAAGAGAAAAAGATGACAACCCACTCAAAAGGAGTTACAAGGCAGAGAGAGAGTTGGAATAAGAAAAGAGACAGAAAGAGCGAAAACAGAAAGTTGGACAATTAAAACTGTGTGTACTGACTTGAAAGTGAGGTCTATGTGTATTTCAGGCAGGTTCTTGTTCAGAGCCTCCAGTCCCGTCTGGTACTGGTGTTCAAGAGCCTTGTATAGCTGATGGTTCCAGTGCTGACGCCATGCCTGCATATCATCAGACCTGAAGCCCTACACACACACGAAGCATGCATTAGCTTTCCAAGGAGGAGAATTAAGATTTGTTGTACAGGTTGTGTAATGTCCAATAAAAAGCTTAGTAAAGGGCACTAAAAATAATTTTGACACATATACTTCTGACTGTAATCAATACCTGAGCCTCCAGAGTGGCAAAGCCAGTACGGAGGTCCTGAAGGCCATCTTTCCAACGCTGCTGATGTCTCAGCAGGTCCACATTTATCAGTGTCACCACCTGAGAAATGTACCCAGAGATGTGCAAACAAATACACAGAAGAGCAAGACTTTAATTACTAATCTCAGATTGTGGTTCCAAAGAAGATTATTTAAATTAATGTCAACTGCCTCTGTATTTAATCATTTAATAAAATAACTGAGGTCAAAATATAACCGCATACTGTAGTATACCTTGTCAATAAAGTCAGTGTGCCATTTGCGTAACTTCCTGTTCTCGGTGGAGAGTTTCTCAGCAGCAGACTGCAGCTTGGTAATGTAAACTTCCAACTCTTTGGGGTTGTCCCAAGTGATCTGCAGTTTACCACCTGATTCCTTCGACTGAGATCGAGGATTCTGAGACAGAAAAGCAGAAAGATTATTTCAAAGCCAAGATTCAAAATAAGGCCAGGATCAATATTTAGATGACAAGTTTGTTGTTTAAAAAATGTTGTAAAATATCTTTCAGGAACTACAATTCCTATACTTTCCTATAAAAAATTTCAAAAGTAAAGAAAATGATCTTTTTTGTTTGATGCATGCTCACAATAAAAGTTAGGAACTGGCAGCTTTGAATTTCCAACATTAAAAAAATAATAATCATAACACATTTTTTATAACATTTAACATGCATCATTCATCAGTCATTTACAGCTTTGCACATACCTTGATGACTTGTTCAAAGGCCAAGGCAAGACCAAGCATCATAGGTCTCTGAGAGGGAATCATCTGCTGGTCAATGGTGTTGTAGAAATGGGCCACCTGCAACGCAGAGACACTTTGTTACAGAAATAACGAGACAGAAATAAATAAATGAGGAAAACACAGTGTGTATTGACCTGCACTCTGACCTGTTTAAGGACAATAGCTTGTCTGTGGAATTTGTCGGCAGTATTAGCAGCCTGTTGTATCTTCGCTGGGATAGGAAAGCCCAGAGCAGAAAGCTGCCTGACCTCCCTGAGCAGACTGACCAGTCTGTCTGAATACTGGATCTTCAGCCTGCCGTCCACATGGTCCAGGTCCATAACACGGTTACTGGCCTGGAGACTATACAGAGGGAGACAATTAAATTGGAGAAATACAGAATTTAAGATCCACTGAAACCCGCACCCATTCCAATACAAGTGCCCTTGATCAATGTGCTAAATAAGATGAACATGTTTCAGTGATGAAATTCAGTGTTGCTCTGAACTTTTCTTGTATGTCTTGTTAGTTGAGGTCACAGTGTGTGGTGTTGACCAAACCTGATCCCTGACTTTGGGTCAGCCAGTCCAGACAGTATTTCTCTTGACCAGTCCTCGAACTGCTCCTGTTCATATGCCCTGAGACCTTCTAGCAGGTCATCACAGAAATGTAAGTATCCTTTGAACCCAGACAGGTCTGAAAGCAGTGCCTCAGCTATGCGCACAGAGTCCTCAACCTAATGTAAGAAAGCAAGCAGACCAATATAAAAGGAATCAGTATATACTATTCCTTCCATCATCATGGGGCCTATTTGTAATTGTAACATCAGTAAAAACCTGTAGTATCATCACCATCTAGCTAATTATCTGATAAAAGCTCATTCTTTTATGTGAAAATCATTGAATCATTGAAGTCAGTTTATTTGTTGGTCTCATACAGTACAGTATATGTGCACATGTGAACATACACACAAACTCAGTTACCCTGTGTATGAGCTGTCGGACCCAGACAATTTTGTTGACCACCTCAGGGAGGTTCCTGCCAATGAGTGGCCCAGACTTTTCTCCAGGGCCTCCATGGCAACGACTCTCAAAGTCAGTCTTCAGGCCTAAGAAAATCAATAAAGTAGAAAGGCTTCAAAGATGAGGAACAACAATGTGTCACCATTGACTTTGCCTACATAATACACATCATTTTATATATCCAGCTAAAACTTTATTCACTTATTCTAAGTCACTTACTATGAGTAAGCAGCCTGTACTTCAGCTAAGAATATATTGCTACTTATAGGATAGAGCCTTTTCTATGACATTTACTCTCTGACGTTTAGACTAAAGACTCTACAGTCTGGACCATGGGTTTTCTAAGTCTCACACTGTAGGGACCCCCCCCCCCCAACAACACTAAGACAACAGCGTCTAAAATAAATCTGTTTGACTCAGTTATGACTCTGAGACTAAGCCTCTATGGGTATGAAAGTACCTTATTTGCCTACATGAGCTGTGTGTCACAGGTACTCCCAAGCTGACTGTGTTAATAAATGGGACAATGACTAACTTTCTGTTGTTTTTAGGACACACTTTCTGCACCTCCCCATTAACTCTCCCATACACCCCTGGGGAGGCAACCTCACAGTCTGAAAGCCTCTGGTCTGGAGAAAATAACATAAATGCAGCATTCTTCAAAACCAGTCCACTAAACTGCGGCATTTAAGCACATGAACACAGAGGATGAACTAGGTTCATTAAAATGTTATGCATTATGCTTCAGTGCAGGCACATTAACTCACTGTCACACTTTCCCTGAAACAGAAACAAAGTTAAGTGCTTTGAGGCAGAACTATGTACCTTTGTTGTAGTCCAGTAGTCTGGCCAACAGGGTGTCTCTCTCTGACTGCAGCTCTTTGCTGATGGTGGGACGTCGGATCAACTCCTTGTGTTTTTGAAACACCTGCAACAGCTAGACAGCAAGCAAACACATACACAGGCACATAGAGTCAGTTCCCACATGAACACACACCCACACACAATATTTTACAACATGAACTGAAGTAGTAAGTTTCACTACCTGCTGTGGGTTGTCTTGCACGTCAGCAATGTAGCTCTTTAGTCTGCCAGCAACCTCCTGCTCGGACGGAGCCATTAGCCGCTCAAACTGAGCCACTGCTGCTCTCCAAAGAGGCTAAAAAACATATAACAAACAATCAAACTCCCCTTAGCCTGGATGGTAATCTGGTGGGAGTGGCATCAAGTCGACACACAATGAAGAACCTGTACCCGTACCATATCATGCCTGCATGGAGGCGCTGTCACTGTGCACTGGCACTGCCAAGTGCAGGCATGAAGAAGGCTAATTCAGGGTAATTCAGAATTCTCACAAGCACATGCACACTTACAGTTTCCCACAACTAACCTCAGTGTAGGGATTGTAATGGAGAGGGTTGAGTCCTGAGAAAGGTTCAAAAACACGATCTGAAGTCAGAGCCTGTTGTTTCCCTCCTGGTAGCAGACGCAGCAGTTTCTCATGAACCATACGCAGAGTTACCACCTGGTATACATAAACAGAGCGAGGGAATTCACGTTATCTATCTCCACAATGTGACTTACAATCTGTGACTGAGTTATTCGATTATAGTACTAATTCTAAGATACTGTGTGTACGGGTATGGGAGACACACTTCAATTCTAAAAAATAGAGATGTCCATACAGTAAGCTCGCTAAAAGTCCATGTCAAACCTCTAATGGTAAATGCTAACAGGGCAGATATTACATAGTTCCCACACTTAAGATTCTGTCCACAAGGGAAATGATACAATTTGCTACGTCAAGTAAGGTTTTAACAGCATCGTAGGTCTGTACCACGGTTAAGCAGTGGTCTTGAGAGGAATGAGTCTGTTCTACATACACTGTTATGCATAAATACAGCTACTAGGAGCAGATAGTTTATCAAAGGCTGTGTCCCAATTCAGGGCCTCACTCCTACATGGTCTGCCTTTTAAGACAAAACATGTCATAAAGGGTTGATAAGGCTGTCCCATTCCAATGGCTCATTTAAGTCCATTACATTTCACAAAGTGTGTAAAGACAAAAGTTCATCAGATCAAATCTGTGCATGCATGAACATTTCGTGAATGTCCGGTGTGAGTGGGTTACTTTCTGGATCAATAAGGTGCTTAACAAAGAGTACTATAAATGTAACATATAATCTTTAATAATAGAAGAAGTATTTTAAGGAGAAAATTTGTATAAATCCATTTATGCTTTTCCTTCCTTTTTCTTGGCTCAAAATAAACCTCAAGTGGAAATTCCATTCACAAGTGAAATCCCTTTACAAATGTGCAGGAACAAGGAAAGGACAACTGAAAGGATACTTGCAAGTATAATTTAAGCACTGAATGTGATGCAACCACTGTATCACAATGTCACGTAGAAAAGGAAAAATGTGCACTAATGTCTATTCTACAGAAAGTGTTTTCTTGACCCTGGATCAGAACAATATCTTACCTCATCTAATCTTTTTGCAAGGCAATGAAGAGTTTGGGGGCAGTGCTTGTTTCCCTTCCACGGGTGGGGGGCATGTCTCTTCCATACCTGAGAAAAAAGGCATGTTTTCAGTGTTTACCATAATCAACCTTATGATCTCCTTCTAGCTTCAAGATGCTGATTTAGCCAAATTGTATGTTAAAAGGTATTCTCTACAGTTTAAGTGAGGTGTTTTATTATGACAGAAATTTTTTTACTTTTCTCCCATTTTATACTGGTCTATACCTGTCCAGTCAGATGCTCACAGGCTACGACCCATTGTTCACAGACTGCAACGCCTGTTCTCACGTTCTCTCTCACCGATACAAATGGCTCCTCAAAGATTTTAAGGCCGCTTAGCTTCCTCTGCACATATCTTCCTAGGGCTCCACCTTATACATAAACAAACACACCGAGAAAGACGCCAAATATTTGATTATTGACAATCCATGTTCTGTATATACATTAGGTACTACATACTGGGGAGTTCCTAGGAAAACAAAGTTGGTTTCATTTCTCAAAACATGTGCACTTCATCAACAACCAGACATGTACATCTTTACACACACTGTATCTTAAAAAAATCACATCGGCAAATGTTTGTTTTTCATTTCATGGTTTTGGTTTGTGTATGTGTGAGAGTCCCACCAATAACATCCATGAGTCGGACCATGCGTGTTTCTGGATAAGGCTCAAAATCAGTCTGCCTCCAAACATCATCCAGACTGTCTCTGCTCTGTTCCACCAGGTCCACAACATCAGACATAGACAAGCCATCTAGACCACCATACTCCTGGTGGAAACACAAAGAGACACATAGTTTTAGTTACCCAGTGAGTTCACTGCAAACTGGAATATAAGCTTCTAAACATGTTAATATTAAGACACAAGATATAATGGCTTTCTTTTACCAACTAAACTCATCGCTTAGAGTTACAGACTATAATTCACATCTCAATAATAGTAACTCAGTTAGTAACCACCATGTATACACATAAAAACAATATGTAGGAAATGTAATAACACTAAAGCCAGTCCTGATACATATATATGTGCATGCATACCTTTTGTATGGGTTTAAATTGCTCAGTGAAATATGTAGCCCTTTCTCTCACACTGTTCTTCTCTGCAGACTCAGAGAGATCGGCCCAGTACTGGAACTCATCACTGGGAGTCAGGATGCCTGCACAACGTGGGAAAAATGTGAGTACATCTTCATCTTCAAACAAATCAGAATGTATCCTGGTTCATAACAGATTCAGTTAAGAGTTTTTTTTAGTTTGGTCTCCAGGGGGTTAGTTTACTAGGCAACAGGAAGTTGCAAATGCAAATCATGTTTAGCCATACACCTGTTAATACGTATTATATTTGTATGCATTTATTAGTCTAATACAGCACACTATAAAGTCACAGGGTAACAACTGCTTCCAGCAGTAAGAAATAACTTTTCAATGTCACTTATATCCAAACAGGTTTGGTAAACACTTACCTTTTGTACATATTAGCAAGATGTTGTATATTTGTACACATACCAAAAACATCTTCCTCCGTGCGGCCCTTTTTGGCAGAGAGTTTTGCTCCAGACTGGCGGACCACTGTGCCCAAGCCAAGCTCCAGCTCACTCAGCAGGTCTGCCAGCTTAGGGTCAAATGCTGAACGCCAGCGCTCATCCTTGAGGAAAGTGAAAGAGTGATACTTTTCAAGTTTAAGACTAAATAGTCTCGTTTGCTGCTCCAGCCTTATTGGGAAATCCCATATCAAAAGCTTTGAGGGAAAACGCTAAAAAAGTATTTACATATATTACAATGGTGTGGTAATATTAATTCACAATTATTTGTTTCCAATTAGCTCAGGTTATTCTTCCTTTTTAATTTTAATAGTCTACAAACGTATTCCAACTTGAGATATGTTCCAAATAGTAGCTTCAAAAATGCTATATCTAGTGTCTTTAATGTCGTTGACTGTGTGGTTTAGCAGAATCTCCCACTGTGGTTGATGTTACTACCGAAGCCTAAATCTTTCAAAAAGCATCTATGGAATTCTTCAATACACAAGGACAGGCTCACCTTCAGCAGCACAGGTCCAAAGACTTGTCTTACAGCCTGGTAGAGGCTGTTGATGGGAGACTCCAGCATGGATGACACAAGGAGACTCTGGTGAAGGTTGTCTTCTGTGATCACTGTGGGATGCAGCTTGAAGAATACCAACACCTTCTCTCTGCTGTCCCCCGATGCTTCAATCTGACAAAGGAAGATGAAAGACAAAAATGTATTGTTAAGCCAACATATGATGGGTTAATTGTTGTTGTTTTAAGTATGATGCATGAATAAAGTTACATTACCTCCACATATACATGCAACCAGGTTATTAATTTGACACATACAGTGAAAAACTGTTTCTACTTAGAATGAGTGACAAGGGTCAAATGAATTGAAGGCATTTTTGGGAGTAATGTCTCTTTTCTATGGTGTTTTTATTGAGTGACTTATTCATTGTAAGTGTTGGTTTATTTACTCTATTTTACCATTAAAACATGAGTATTCACGTTAGGGCAATTTGCCTTATGAGCCCTGAGCGCAAATCCCTCTTTCACGATGGTAATTCTGCCACACCAGGAAACTTTAACACTGTAATAACATGCAACCATTGTTGTTACCTTATTTGACAAATGAAGGTCACTGTCATGTCTGCTGACGGACAGGACAAATTCATTCCCATCGTCCAAGAAGTTATTGAGCTCTGGGCTGTCAGCCAGGGACGGCGAAGGCTTTGTCCCATAGAAGTTTCCAGTCGTGGTCAGGATGAACTTTTTGCGAGCATCATCTGAACCGTGGGGCATCTTTCAGCCACAATAATGTACTGTTGCTGAGGAAGCTGTAGTATACAAACAAATAACACTGTAAAGGACCACACTATGGTACTGATATAGCTTAATGGTTCTTCATACCTTAAAACGTTTTACTGTTCAAACTTTCCTCATATAAATGAATGTTAGCACCTCAGAGTCCCTGTTTGTGACGATAACCCATGAGAGGCACACAACGGGGCCATATCTCTAACTTCAGTTAAACCCAGCGTTGGTTAGGCTTTAATCTAATAGGTAATGTAACTTTGTGCCGACCCTGGAGCAAGGGGATTTACCAACTTTAAGACCCGACATCGGACCACATGACCGCTCAAGTTCTATCAAACTATAAGTAGTTGTACCAATGGTTGTTGGGTGACATTTAGTGTATTTGAAGCAGTCTAAACACTGCTGATATCGTAATATCACGTTATAAGTTAACGTGCTAGTGTCGAAACAACGTTAGCTTATTAAACCAGCATGCGTGCACCCTGTCCCCTTTGCTTAAGAAGTTGCTTCTAATAACATGGTACGGATTTAAATCGTGTTTGAACAGTTATGGTGCAGCATTAAAGCTAAGCAATGGCTACAGGGGGGCTAATAACACCAGCTAGTTAGCGAACCTAACGTTAGCTCACCGCCTCCGTTAAAGTTAGCCAGCCGGCTACGCCTCCGCACGCTATCGAGCTAATTGAAACATCGGATTCATACCGTTTTCTAGTTTCGTAGCTTCTGGGAACTTCATTCATGAAGTGAAGCTGCAGCAATCTGTTGCTCGTGTCTGTGTCTATATTCCACGATTATGCTTGCGTGGTTACCAGGCAGCAACTACGGTCCCTGTACCACGTGACACCGCGGAACTAGAGTCCTACGCAATTTACTTACGCCATTTACTTATAACAGGCATCATCCATTGTGTGCGTTTCAGTACCTCTAAACGTGACTTATCTCCGTGGGGTTTTCTCCAAGGTCTTTATGAGAAGCTCATAGTGTTTAGGAGAATTGGTATTAGTACTGTCCGGACGACTTAAATGTCACCATACATGACGTTTGTCATTTTAAAGTAAGACAACACAACTTAATTTTTAAGCATTCAACTACCACAGCTCCCATTCGGGTTTTAACACCGTGCCAGCTGCTCATGGTGTGTGTTATAAATGTATGTAACAAATCTTGCAGCTCATATGCTCAGCATTACCATTAAGAGAAACAGCAAGACATCTGTTTCTCTTTCTATTATTTATGTTTAAAATGTCTTCTTTTCACATATTGAGTTGTAACAATAGTAAAAGCATAGCCTGGGTGTTATTACTAATAACGTTAAGCCTGGCTGTTCAAATTCAAGTGTCCCAGTTATCCATGTGTGTGACAGGGAGTTATTAATTTTCTTATTTACACTTACCAGTGTTTTTCCCACTTTGACCTGTGTTTTAACAAAGGCCTTAAAGTAGCCTTCTGTTCCTTCACAATTAATCACAATACAGAACTGAATGTCTCTTCTGCGTTAACCTACTCACAGGCCCTGCAGAGCAAAAATTAGCTGCACGGTTTTTACCCTGTTCCTCTTTTTCTGTGTGCATTGTGTTTTTATATATTCGGGTTTGCTGTGAGGTCATTTATTTTAACACAGTTGAATTTAAAATATGCACCATGCAACCATAAGACGAGCAACAAACTGCAGCTTCCGTTTAGCAAGAGGAGTTCAGAGGCACTGCTGTACCTGGACTCCAGGGACTCTAGTGTGGCTTCAGCAGGCATTATGGTATGGACCATATCATGTATAATTAAAATGGACATCTAATAAATGCGTGGAGCGTGGGTGGAGTTGAGGCGGTCCACCAACAGGGAACATCCTCTGTATTGGTTCATGCACCTGGTTCTGAGCGTTTCGACCCCAAATGAATTGGTTCGGAACCCAAAGGTTTGGTTTGTTTCCATATGGAGCCAAGAAATAGGAAGATTTCCTTGGGAATCAAAGTGGGCATGTCATATTCTCCAGGCTGTGCATTGTGCATCGCTCTCTGTTGATGACAAATCCTTGATTACAATGGTCCTGCTTAAAACTGGTGGAAATACGGGTTGGTTCAATAGAGAGAACCAGAAAGCCCCTGGATTTTGTCGAGTTGGTGATCCAGCTGGTGGCTAACAGCATATAGTATTTCATTGTGTGCATATGATCCTTTGGCCAAGGTTAAACTGCACAGAATGGAGTTAGGTCTTTGTAGTAATGATGTCAGTCTTTGGTCAGAAACTTGTAAGATATTCATTGCCAAGATGATTCAAACACTGTGATTCACGGTCACACATGCAAAGTCAGACAGGGATTCCCTTGAGTTTCATTTCTATGCCTGACCTTATATAGGTATAGATAGAAGGGAAACTCTGTTGTCACGCAGTGTCCTCACACCCAACTGCATGTTTACAAAGTAATTCAAGCTCTCGAAAATTACTACCAATTTGATAGCATTTATCTTCATTGTTGAACAGCAGAATCAATACACGTTTTACACGTTTCTCAGAACAACCTCTAAACCAATTCTTGATACAGTATATTGCCCATTGCAACCTTTAACTATCAGCTGGTTACAATCCAGTTTTTCTGCAGTTCACATGCCCCCAATTTACTAAAGCAAGAACTTTAGAGAGGCAAGCAGATAGCTGATAGACAGTTACCAACTATAAACTTAGAGTTCATAGAGTTCTTCATATTTTGATATAGATATTTAATATAGAGCATTTGCTCCAGTTCAGGGGAGCCCTTTTCAGATGGAAAGTTACTGAAGAAAGCTGGTAAATTGAGACTGTTTTTGAGTTTAAAAATCCCCCCGAATGATGAGAACTGATGTGTTTATCAACTCTTTTGGGGATGTGGTTGTGATTTCAGAGCCTTTTACTCCCACTCACTACTAGCTGGACAACACATTCCTGTTAACCACCTCTGCAAGGCTGGAAGGGAGGTGTAAATAGGTCTATATTAGGTTATACAGAAGATCTTTTACAATGACAATATCCCTTTACAATATCCCTGCTCTTGATTTATGTTTCATCATTATGGGTGCCCCTCTCTTCCAATACATAAAGCTTTAACAGTTAAGTGGGCAGTATCTTAACACAGCCCCTAATGTGACAGAATAATTCCCCCTTTGACAAGAACACTTTTAGTCTTACAGTCATTATCATAAGGGTCTATTCAACTTTTATTGTACATATATATCATTACATAAAATATTTACAGGCTAAGTATTCAAAAGGATTAAGTTATACAGTAGTAGTGTATACTAAAAAGTGTTGGAACAGGCTAAATGAAAGTAATTGGGGGTGTGTTAAGTGTAGTAGTACGCATGGAAAATGCGGGAATGGCACAGTTTTTTGAATTTTTCTCCCAAAACTGCATAATTTGATAATGCTCTTCTTATCATCTTGAGCGGTCCTTTTTTTTAACAGTTAAAATGCCAGGTGCAAAAGACTTGTTCATAGGTGTGTGTGTGTGTGTGTGTGTGTGTGTGTCTGTGTGTGTGAAAGTGCGAGCGCGCACACAGGGGCATGGCATTCACCTGCTTTCCACCCAGCCAGGATAGAGCCATTTGCCACTGGGGCTACTAGTGTAAACATGAAACATGCAGTTTTGTTTTTCTAACCACTTTTACTTGACTTCAGTGGAAAGTATGATGAGGTCAGTTAAAATGAGAACTATTAATTACTAAGCTAATAGTAGACCATCAGAGTGCAAAGAGAATCTCACGTTCATTATGAGTCAGAAACACTTTATTATTGGATTCAAATCAAAGAATATACATTAGAGATTCTGCCCAGTTCCTATAACCAGGTCAGATTTTTGAAAGGCCATTAACAAGAGTTAAATGGGTAATTAAAATGGATAATAATTTATTAACTTAAAATAACTTATTCTAGTCTTTAGAATAATTAGACATAACAAAGGGATTGAAAAAAAGAAGTGAAAAGATGTTCGACCAAATGTGGGAGAAGAACAAAGCTAAACTTGAATGTGAAACATTGTGGTTAGTGGAACAGAGTTGCCAGCTGTGGGAGTATACAGTATGTCTTTTAGAAAAAAGAACACCACCTGTGTATAAAAAACACGTCAAACGCAGGCCACTTCGACCCTAAAGCCACAGGTCATCTCTCATACACTCAAGCACACACACACACACACACATTATTTGAAATTTCCTTCCAGTTTGGGAAAAAACGTCTCCGCTACTCCAAATGTCAGTACCGCCCACATTGGTGCCAGAATTGAGCAATCCTGTTTTGTGAGGCATCTGATGTGGCATACAGACCTACAGACCAGTGTGTAACATTTAGGAGGATCTATTGCCAGAAATGGAATATAATAGTTACAGGTATGTTTTTGTTAGTGTATAATTACCTGAATACAGGAATACTTGTGTTTTATTACCTTAGAATGAGCCATTTTCATGGAGTCCGCCATGTTGATAAACCAAACACTGACTGTATATAGTAAGATAATAGATAGTCTGTCCTGGGCTGCCCTTTGGACTGTGGTGACAGGAGAGTCCTGGCTAAA